TCAATCTACTTGAAATTTAGTTTAACAATACCTTAATATAATTCATGAAAGACGTGTGGAACGGGTAGAAAGTAATTTTGGCAGTCATTTTCTTCGAAGTTGATATCAATACTACTTAGTGCCTTTGATTTAATTACTTTTTATTTTTACAAGTGTTTGAAAACTCCATTTCAGATTGTGTTCAATGTCAAGTGAAATCTCAAATTGAAATGTCTCAATCTCAATGAGGAGACTCTGTATTTATTCCTAGAATTCCCCAAACACCGTCAAATTACCCTTTCGAATTCAAGACAGTGCAGTTTCCCATCAGTCTGCTTCGTAATGACTATAAACAAAGCTCAAAGTCAAACTCTAGGGACCTCTGCTTAAACTCCCATGAGTGCACAGAGGTACGCAGGTAACCGCGTGTGATGCTTATAGCAATTTTCGATAGGTACAGAACCCCGTACATACGTCATACATATTATAGAAAGAAAACACCCAGACCAATACAAACAAATATGTTTCTGCAATTTTAGTATGATATTTTTATTTATTAATAAACAAAGAGACTGAACAAAATTGATGCGTACCTATACTGATTAATGTTATTAACCACATGCAAAGCTTCGTGAATTGCAACAACTATAATTAAATTTATTATCCAAGCTCTAAATAATCGCTACTAAGAGTAACTTATCATAAAAAAAAATTCCAATCGCTCAAGCTCCCAAGGGCCTACCGATAGGTCGGGTGACGTAATCTTGAAATTCTTTAAGCCGGCGCAGAACTTCCAGAAGGTCGGGCGACGCCACGGCCACTTTGAACAGTGTTTACTTCTGCAGTTATATTTTATATTTATTCGATTCTAGAGTATATTCCCAAAAAGTCTGAAAGGTGTTTTAATTTGTATCACTTGGATATGATTTCTATTAGAAAGTGTTGTGAGTGTGACGCTTGAAGGGAAGGAAGTCAACCTAACCTAACCAACTGCGTATTTCTATACTGTGTAGCTGGAAATTGTGGCGGGAGCTCTTTGACGCGTTGTTTTCGGCGAAGAATTGCGCGCGCAGATTTTGACAGCGCGAAATACCTACTTTAGAAGAAATACCAAGCCTTAAACATTTTCCGCCTTACTAGCTCTCATTTGGACAGCATCTCAGACTGAGTGAGAGTAAGCCCCCTTACTAGCTTCTATTACACGCGAGAGTGGCCGGACTAAATCTGACTTTAAGTTAGTATGATTGGTAGCGGAGACCTGCAGAATGCAGACAAGACAACTTTCAAGTCTTAGGGGTTCCACTAAGCTTTTTGATAGAATTCAACCTCAGGAGAGAACTATCCACAGCGAAAAAAATCTGCTAAATTGATTCTACAAAGGCTTCTTTCTATAAAATCTCTGGGATGATAAATTCCGGGAACTGAGCGCAATCACAACAGCCAAATTCAATTAAAAACATTATCTATTCCCATTCCACAGCCTGGGCTTGAATTTCCCATACCACCGGGTTAAAATTGGGTTTTGTTCCAATGGAAAAAAATATAATACATATAATGTTTCGCACGAAATGCCTCGACTGTTAGCCACTGGATTCCGGATTAATTTATCGTCAGGTTGTCCGCGCAAGGCCCGCGACACGTCTGATATTAAATAGGCCAGCGGAAATTAAATGTTCTGTACTAGTTCATATGACATGTTACCCAGCAAATACTTTTATCTAGGGAATTAGGAATATTAATTACTTCTTGGTGTTGAGCTACACCGCGTTTATAAGGTGTACCTTAATTGTAATTGCCTCGCTCTATATTACATGGTTTCATTATCAATATGTGGATTACGTAGTGGGATGTGTTACCACATAAATAATACATAAGTCTAGTAGATAAGTTAATTTTTGTAACACATCTGTTTGTAATTCCTAAAATAAATAAATAAAAAAATAAATGAATTGAAAAATTGACGGTTAAAAATATTAAGCCTATAGGGTGGGGTTCCAACCTACAGGAATCCTACTTAATATGTATTATAAATGCGAAAGTTTAGATGTCTGGATATTTGTTACTCTTTCACGCAAAAACTACTGAACGGATTTTGATGAAACTTTACAGTATTATTGTTTATAACCCAGAATAACATACAGGGTGGAAACGATAAGTGATCTCACTCGATTATTTCTAAACTATACAAGATATCTAAAAACTGGTTACTGATCCTGATAGTCCTTCACGAGCTCTATCCAACGGTACCAATAATAGGCTACAAAATGAACTGGATCTATCAAAAAATTCAATGTTTCCAGCTTCCATACATTTAGTAAAACCACATAATATTAAAAACTATACAAGATATCCAAAAACTGGTTACTGATCCCGAAAGTGCTTCACGAGGTCTATCCAACGGTACCAATAATAAGTTACAAAATAAACTGGAACTATCCGAAAATTTAAAGTTTCCAGCTGTCATACATTTAGTACTGCCACAGTCATGGCACTCATGTCTTGATAATTTTATAGCAAGTAAAGCCTAAAACCAATGTTTTCCATGAATAATTTTATATAAGAATGCAATTTACGAGTTCATTTTAAGTGTTTATTATTTAATTAAAAAAATTAACACTTCTAATATTGTGTGGCTGGCATACATTTAGTATGGAGGCTGAAAACATTGAATTTTCGGATAGATCCAGTTAATTATGTAACATATTACTGACACCGTTTGAAAGAGCTCGTGAAGCACTTTCAGGATCAGTAACCAGTTTTTCGATATCTTGTATAGTTTAGAAATAATCGAGTGAGATCATTTATCGTTTCCACCCTGTATAGGCTATAATTTATGACGATCTGTGACAAACGAAAATTGTCGCGGGTGAAGCCGCGGGCCAAAGCTAGTAATAAAATATAATGGTTTTATCAAGCTTCCACGCTACCAATCTTAATAATTATGAAGATTGTATTAGCTCTAGGTGGTTTACAAAAGTAGGTATGGGGACGGTAAGGCAACGTACGAGACAGCGAGCTAGGAACTGATAAGACTTGGTAAGAAATACTCACTTAAATTGATAAATTACTGTTTAGTGGAGTCTAAAATTGGTTCCAAAGAAATGCAGTTTGAATCGGCTTCTGAGTACTTTGATGGATAATGCAATTTCGCTGTAACTTCTAGCGTGCAGCTTAGACCTGCAGGTCAGCCAAACAATCGATCTTGCGCGCCCGGCCTTACAACATGTTCAATCTCGCTTGCCGAAATGGAACCACATTTCTCAGCTGCAAATAGTTTTCGCCGCCAAGTTACGGAGTTATATTATGAGAGGATATTTAAACGACAATATGTTGTATGAATTCAATAATATTTTTTTAAATCATAAGCTGTCTACTCACGGAGGGAGCGGCGAGCGTTCGGCGAACGAACGAGCAATGTTCGGTTCGCGAGCGAACATAGAAGAAGACGATCCTGACGCACTCTCTTCAACGACTTTGCACTAATTGACGATATTATTGTAAATTTATACCGAATAGACAATTTTATACAGTCCACTCCTTTTCATTTATAACTTTCACTACACTCACTATCGAAGTAACATAAGCGATTATTTCATCCAATTTAAACGATCAATTTAATTTGGTTTAAGGTTCAGCCAAACCAACGCGATCACACGCGATCAGCCGGCGTGCAGCGATGGCGACCAGACTAAAATGCATTGATCGCCATCGCTGCACGCCGGCTGATCGCGTGTGATCGCGTTGGTTTGGCCGAACCTTTAAGGTATACCACCAGCCTGCTATTTAAGTACATTATGATCTACTCCTCAAATGCAGTAAGTACTGATCAAAACTGCAAAGAAAAAAACGGCTTTTCTAACACTGCCTACTTAAAACTTATTATACATACCTACTTATTTTATAACAACTAGCTTTAATTTAATTGTGTATCGAAAAATATACCACATTGGATTTATTTCGAGTTTTTGTTGACTCATTTTTCTCGTCTATATGTAAAGCAAGCAATTTACGAACAAATATGTGAACGCAGTGACCTACTAAAGAAAATCGATAGTTTTTAAAGTATTGGTACTCGATAGCTCATAGCATAACGGAATGAGCACTCGAAAAATCGATATCTCGCAAAACTGGCTCAGTAAGAGCTTGGGCGAGTCGATAAGATCTGATGGTTAAGTTGGCCCGCGTGGGGTATCTGCGACCTCGCATGTCGGCACAATTTAAAACGGGGATCAGGGAGATATTTCATTTTAGGAGAATGGGCCAAAAGACCCCGTAAGGGGTTAAACTTAGCTTGCAGATCTGAATACCTGTACGGAGTAGTCCTTATAATTACGTTATTAGAAACTGACACAATATTATGTGCAATAGGGATGTTTCCTGGGTGAAAAAGCAAGAGTTTCAATTAGTCCGTCAGGTGACTTATCAAAAAATACTCGACACGTATTTTTAAATTTTTCAAACTATTGAAAATTTAAAGAGATAAAGCGTGCCAAGGTTCAAAAGAAGAGTCCCGTGACGTCAAGAAGGGCTTTGTGACTACACGCGGAACGTCAACGCATCATAATTTCGTAATTACTTGTTTGATTGAGAAGTATAAAAATATGTGTCCAATCTATTATATAAAAGAAAGTCGTGTTAGTTACTCCACTTATAACTCAAGAACGGCTGAACTGATTTAGCTGAAAATTGTCAGGGAGGTAGTTTAGAGCCAGGAGAAGGACATAGGATACTTTTTATCCCGTTATTTATTGCCATTAAGGCGGAACAAAGTTCACCGGGTCAGCTAGTATTTTTTTAAAATTAAAAGTTTTTTTTAGAAAACTAGCCTAAACTCAAATTTATCAAACAAATGAAATAGAAAAGCCATAACAACCACTTTTTATGGGCATTCCTGAATTTTCCTCAAGGTTTGGAGGTTTCCGTGTAATGGCGGTCAACATGGTGTACTTTATTGGATTCTGAGACTGCCATAATGAACTTGGTAGCCCTGAACAGGATGCTGCAATTTCGACTCTACTCACCTTGTCTTAAAGCGTAGAATAAAATAGCTGCGCACACACCCCATGACACCGTCCGGGGACACATCGCCCACACTTAATTCATTGCACCATCACTAACACTTTAGCAGCACTTTTTATCACATCACATTATTTTGACAGCGTGTTGTTTATTTTCTTATAACAGCAACATCTCGCTTGCCTGTAAAAGAAAAAAAAAATTAGGTGTTCATCTAGGTACAACATATAGATAAATATTTTTAGATCTAGATTTACAACCGTATTCACAAACATTACTATGAGGTCTCACAGTGCGCGTGGACGCGCACCAATATACGCATACGAACCAATCACAGAGCTCTATTCAACGCTAGATTTGCTGCGTTCAATTTGTTGCTTCACTTAAACAAGCATCGTTTGTGAATACGGGCGTTAGATTTTTCAGGATTTAAGTATAAACAACAGCACATTAAACTTAACACGGTGGCCTCTTAAGTACCTACTAATATAGGCGATTTTCCAATAAAAATGTACCCGAAGTGCTGTCATCTGTACCTAAATACGTAGGGATAATAGGGATGAAGCTTGCATTAGAAACCTTCATTACTAAAGTTAGAGATTATTACAGTTCATGTACGCTTCTTTTAGAATGTAAAAAGTTTCCCTGAAACGTTTAATCGTAAGAAGGCGGGTAAAATCTATCTGATTCATAATATGAAAATTCACTCAAGTAAGGTCACGAGTAAAATCTAAATTTAAATGTACCGTATGATAAAGTCCGTTTTCTAATTAAATTCGTATGAATTTTAAATACCTCGTTAGCACCACAACAAGAAACAACAAAAGGAGGGTTATATTTTTGCGCACCACAATGGAAACCTAAACACACGTTTACCTTTTACGCTTGCCAGGTGCTTAATATCATACAATCTATAAAAATATCTCAACCTCTATATTTCCCCAATAAAGGTCCAGTTCTGGCAAATGTCCCTTACATTTGTGACCCAGGGGACGGCGTTATCGGCCCACATCTGTCCCGACATGATAATAAAGGGTTCCAGGGCCCAACATTTTATTCAATGAACCGTCGATATATCTAAGAGTTGACGTAACTTTTCAGGCGTTTAGAATCTCGGAAAGATAAGCCGGGAAATTTGCTTTCTTGGCAGTTCCGCAACAAGTTTTGTGTTTGGTACGTTTGTGATACCTTCATGTACTCCGTAAATGTACGTCCTACCACATATTTGTGTTTAAGCAGTATTTGTTCCTAACTTTAATGAACACTTTTAGGTTATTATGTTCCAATATGTTTCTGTAATCATCATTTTCAACTGATTGCTATCCACTGCTGGACATAGGTCTCCCCCGTGCAATTTTACCCTAATCACAGCTTACCCTATCCAGTTACTATTCTATATATTTCAATTCTATTTATAACTATTGTCTGTGCCAAAGAAATGCATTATTTCTCCACTCTGTTGAAATTCGTTTCCCCAAAGAAACACTAACCCAAATCCCTCGATAGCTATTGCTTTAAGATAAAATATCGCACATTTTTTGATATCCAACATTGGATCATAAATATTGTGAGACCTCAACTGGCTTGCGTAAAAAGTACCTTTTGCAAATTACCCACGTTGTTGAAAAGGGGAAACATCCTGAAGGTTTTCCATCTGGATTAAGGCTTATTGGATTTATTGCGGAACAACTGTTCAGTTTGTTATGATCTCGTGCAGGTATTATTGAGCTCACTTCACAGCGAAAACACAATCCATAAAGTCGGTAACAAGCTCTCACTTATAAATAACAAATTGTTGGTTACCGCAAAATTTTCAACAATGTTTTGAATTTATCTGGTACATTTACTTAGTTACTGTTATAATAATGTCCTCCAATTTCAACAAGTTTTCAATCATACAAATTACGCGCCTCTGATGAATTTATTTTCCCGGGTTGAAAAGGCTTTATTATTCTAATTATCTGTTGGTTACTCTGTGCTAGAATTGTATTCATAATTGATTACTTACTGACAAAATATTTGAATTTATTAACAAAAATCAAAACACACAAGGTCAAAAACTTATACCTACATAAGTATAATAATTTTCTACAATTTGTTATGAACTAGGTACGTACTCGTAATATCAAAGCAGTAGTCATTAATTTGGCTATGTTTGTCTCTCGCTCACAATGACAAATGGAACTGTTTGATCTAATCCGACGGTACATTTTGCTACACCTTTTAGTAATATACTTTTCTGTATTCACTAATGTGCCTTTTTACTCGCTGCCAGATTTTTGTAAAAAAATAATATAGTTCTTTGAAGACCTGAGGTTGTGCAGTAATAAATCATGGCTGACACAAACATGTAATTTTCAGTATCCTTTCAGAAGCTTTAAAGCACACTTTCAGCTTCACATCGCATCCATTTAGCCTGTCACAACGATCCAATCGCTTTATAGAAGCTTAAATTAAAGAGTTTCAGTCAAAAGGCAGTCACTAAAAAGCGCAATCGGAGTGAATTCTCAATCGATGACATCAAATTATAGCAAGTAAATAAAAGCTTGTAAGACAGTTGTAAAATCGCTAATTAACTATACCTAGAATGATGCAACCCTAAACAAAGTCAGGGGCAAAGGTTAGTAATAATATCGGCTAGAAACTCGTAACTCCCGCTAAGTCTGACGCCAGCCATGACAAATGAGAGGTGACATCAGCTAATCCTAAACAATTTACCTCGGACCCAAGATCTGGTGGATTTATGTCTTACAAACAAGGGGGATACTTTACGCTTAATATCGGGATAAATAGTTTGAGACTAATCCTCACTAACGCCTTCTAAGTGAGAATTAACTTAGATGACACAAATTATCATGACCAAGACATACACATAAAGTTGTTGGTAAACTCAATTTATTTAGTGATTATAGGTATTGCTTGTATCATTGTACGTTTAATTTCCTCTGTAGTTTTGGAGCTTTGTCACTTATTTATTTAGGATTCATACAGCGATACGAAGTCCTAATATCGACAAGAACTTAAATGTGGTATGTCCAGTAGAAATAAATAGTAAACAAGTATAATATTTTATATTGGATTGTTTTTCAACTACTCAACGTAGTATTTTGTTAACTTCAACAAACCCGTGTAATCTTTCACTCATAATATTCTAATTAATTGAAAATTTGATTTATCTTCGAAATCCAAACGAATTTGCGACCAGCCCTACCACCAAGTGCATCCAGCGGACGAACCTATTTGCTAACTAACCGTACATTTATAAAGAAGCCGTCTCCTAATGCCCGTCGCAGCTGCTGCAAGAACTAATTAGCTCCCTGCTGAGCTTAATACTTGAGACAGCACGTAATTATTTCTTAAATTGACTCCGTGTAGCTTGATCAAGAGCAAACACTGCTTTATTAATGCTTGCTCTGCGTCAGCCAGTTTATAACGACACACATACTCTGAAACTGTAGGTAAATGTATTTTTCTTTAAGATTAAAAAAGCTTTATTTAGGTCCTAACTAGGTAGCTTTTCGCATGCGTCCGTCTGTCACAGAATGACTTGATCGCGCACGTGTCTCTCTTTTGGGTAGAGATCACTCAAGATATTTTTTTTTTATTTGTTTAACAATGTTTCAACAGCATAATATTCTCTTAAAAGGTACTTAATCTATGTGAAAACGCATGGCATGGAAAGACTCATTATTTTCATATTTTTGTTCTTCAGGTCATTTGCAATAATGACAGAGTGGGAAATAATATTCCATTTCAGAATGTTGACTGATATTTCAGCACGAAATGAAGGAACTCGTACCTAACGAAATTGCAAAACACAAGAAGGCTCGTTTATTATTTCCGTAAACATTATGAACATAAACAGTATACTTAATTAGGTGTTTAAGAAAACAACGGGTTTGTTCAATGCCATGGAAAATTCAATTCTCGATGAAATTAGGCTTTTAGAATAGAAACAAGATTTGAGAGAAGAGAACATTGAGGCAAGAGTATTTGGTATTACTTGTATTATATTGTTTAAGTTTTTTTATTAATACGCATTGTGATATAGATGAAATTTGTCGGTAAATTTTTAGAATTAAAAAAGTCATAATATCTTTGAAGATATTTTTTAAAAAATATTACGGTCTACGAAAAGTACTGGGACAACCCAGTTAGAAAGACATTTACGGAAACATGCCTCAAAATATTTAAGTAGAATTAATTCTATGAACATTGTGCCCATGAGGATATAAAGTCATTAAAAAGAAATAATAATTTTCAGTCAATGGCTATGAAAGCTTTTTAACATAATCTGTGTGCCTACCATGAGTTTACGTTAGGTGAGCTCGCTAGCGAATACGTCAAAAAATTCTATGAAGATTTTATTTCTTGAAAGTAGCCATTAGGGGCGCTGCACAATATGTCATACATTTAAATGTCATTTTTTTACGCAGTCGCCAGCGAGCACACCTAACGTAAACTCATGGTAGGCACACTGATTGTTTTATTGTCGGTCAAGCTGTAGATCTTGGCTACAAAGGAGTTGCAGCAGTGGAAACGAGAGGTGGGAATAGTCCCGTAATATAATCTGATTCTTTACAACCTTCTGGGTTTCTTAACTTAAACCGGTAATAACTACGGTACAGCATAGTAAAATAGCATTTTACATTATAAGCACATAGAGCAGATTTAATTAAACAAACGCTTAGCAAAACATTTCAACTCTACAGTAAAAATTCCGTATTAAAGACGGACGCAAAAAAGTAGGGTTCCGTATTTTTTCAGGTCCATAATTTTATTGTAATTTAAGTGTTAAGTACTAGTTTTAATTATAATCTGGATATTAAAAACTCTATTACATACCAAATTTACGTTTAAGTATAACAATAAAAAGGATTTGGTCAACATTGATCATTAACTGAACTAAAATTATATCCATAATGTTATTCGTGTGTTTCCAGGGATTTTTAGTTTGTCTGCGGTACCATAATACAACAAACAAGTAAGAAAAATGAGCACAAACATAAAGACCGGTTTATTTCAGCGGCCGCAATGTATTAAAATTACAATTTCTTAGACCTGGAACTTAAACCTTCCTTAATTTTTTTGTATAAAGCCAATTTACTAAATTTTAAAAGATTTAGCAAAACACTCATTTCAGTTAAACGCTAATTTCTATTATGTCATTTTAAATACCGTAA